TAAGGTGCAACGGTTGATCAATGATGGAATGGTAAGTTTTGATCAAGGAAAAGCAACAGCACCTAATGTTAGTGTACTGAGCGAAAGTCAAGAACAGAAAGGATCCGGAGATTCACAATGAATTGAGGGGCAAGATGTCAATGGAGATAAGGCTGGTTGAAGGTTTCTTCTGTCATTTTGGGATTTCTTTTCAAAAATGTTAGATTTTTTTTAATATGACTTCACTTGTTATCATTTTAATAAAGGCAAGTCAATGCATTTCATTACATTTTTCTCTTTCACTTTACCATTATTCCATGCCTTGTTACCTTCCATAACTTCACACTCCCATTCTTAAATTTCAGATGATGAATATTTAGACAATGATAACAATAATTCTGGAATTTAATTTTGAGAACTCATTCACAGAGGAGATGATTTGAGCGAAAATAAAGAGGGTAAGCCATCACCAGAGATGAAAGAGATATATCTTGAAGGTGTGCAATATTTTATACAAGTTCATGAGCTCTGTTCAATAGATGATGTTCAAGAAAGGTATTCACAATTGAGATGAAAAATGGCCATCTTTCTTTTACCATTTGAAAGCCATTTATTGTTACCCCCTTGAGCTTATCATTTTTTTTTTTAGAACCCCAACCAAGGATCACCCTCTACACTGGAGGGTAATTTTTGAAAAAAAAAAAAAAAAAAAAAAAAAAAACCACAAAAGGTCTCAAAGATGAAAAGAGAAAGAAAAGCAAAAGAAAAAATAAATGCCACACATGACTTGGGGCAAAGTAATGAGAATCCTTTGTGTGAGGAAAGAAAAAATAGTGAAACGATGTGGGGCAAAATGCCAAGCTGCATCAAATGATCCTTCGGTCTTGAACCTTTTTAATACATGTTTTGAGCCTATTATATCCATTTTTTTTATGACCCTTCACCTTAGCCTACATTACAACCTTGGAAAGTCCATTTGGATCAAGTGTGAATACCCAACTTGAATGATCATATGTTGAGCGAAGGCATGCTCATGATGAAGCAATGGAATCATGCTACATTACCTTAAAAGTTTGATGTATGAAGGATGTCAATAATAGGTGAAGAATGAAAAAAAGATGATGAAAAAAAAAAAAAAAGAAAGAAAGAAAAAAAATGAGAAAATGAAAAAATGAAAAAATAAAAAAGAGATCCGAATTGAAAACCTGAAAGGGTGATTTTGGTACCCAAAAAAAAAAAAAAAAAAAAGATTCAGGTCAAATGGCTCACATGAATGAAAGATCAAAGACATCTGAAGATCCCTTAAAGACTGGGGCAGAGTTCGCCAAGCCCAAGATGACTTCAACAGTAAATGAATGAGCTTTTGAAAAAGAATCCTAGATTAATGTTGAAAATTGTCTAAATATTCATCATTTGGACATACCATTTACCTCAATGACATCCAATTTATTTCCTTTCCCATTTATTTTCTACCAAAATAAATCTCCATTGATTATCTTTACCATAATTCACTTTCTGTCCTCTTATTGTTACACCCTTAGAATGAATTGAGAAAATGCTTGATTGCATTGTATTTGTCAAAATTTGAAATGATAATGAATGAATGAACATGTACTTAAAAGAATCTTACATTCATTTGAAAAGAAATCTAAGATGATGAAAAAATGGTAGAAACCTAAAAGAGATGATGGGGCAAATCTGGAAAAGTGATGAATTGATCGATATGACTTGCAAGTTATGATTGAATGATGAAGACAATCAGTGGACAGAGTTTGTTTTTGAATGGTTAATGCTGAGACAGAGTAATGACCCAATGATGGTGGATGAAACTTGTTTTGAAAATTTGTTATTGCTGAGAAATTCATTGAATGATGGTCAAGTGATGATCGATTGATGAAGCTTATTCCAAAGTATTGAAAAACAGAACAAGGAAGAATCTGAGTGGAAGAGACAATTAAGAGCTACACTGGTTCGATCTTAGAAGAGCAGTGCAATTGGATCCTTGAGGAATCAAAGGGCTTGACACCCAAGAAAAAAAAGAGCTTGAGAAACTTGAGTACCATACATTGAACAGGAATTAATTGACCAACATTTGCATAGCATGCATTGAAATTCATATGCATTTGCATAGCATACACTACTTTCAGGAAAGTATAGTGTACAAATTCAAGAAGCAGGGGTGTTCCAACATCCCACATGAAAAAGACAGATATAAAAAGACTTTGCAAGTTTGAGAAGAAACTTGTCAGGTAAGTTCCTAATCCTCGAAATAGGATGTCTCTTGGTATCAGGGTTGATTTATAAGACCTTTGGGCATAATCTCCTGAAATCCCTTCAAACACAACTTTCAACTCCTTCGGACATGATTGTCTAGGAGTATTTATTTTTCCAAAGTCGTGGTACCTCTGTTGAGAGGAGCAATTTACTTTTCAAAGTCGTGGTACCTCTGTTTAGAGGAGCAATTTATTTTTTCAAAGTCGTGGTACCTCTGTTGAGAGGAGCAATTTACTTTCCAAAGTTCGTTGCCTCTGTTTAGAGAGGAGCAATTTACTTTCCAAAGTTCGTTGCCTCTGTTTAGAGGAGCAATTTATCTTTCCAAAGTCGTGGTGCCTCTGTTTAGAGGAGCAATTTATTTTTCAAAGTCGTAGAGCCTCTGTCAAGAGGAGCTAAAAAAAAAAAAAAAAAAAAAAAAAAAGGTCGAGTCGGGTCTTGACTGGGTGTCTACGTCTTTGCGCAATTTCTGTTTCACAGAAAATACGCAAAGAGGGGCAGCTGTAGACACCCAATCAGGTCCGGGCCCGGATCAATTGGGCCTGACCCGGATCAATTGGGCCTGACCCAGATCATTTGGGCCTGGCCCAAATGGGCAAGGCCTAATTGAATTTTTACCCGTATTTTTTTTATTTTTTATTTTTATTTTATTTTTTTTCTCTCTCTTGTGTATTTTATTATTTATTATTATGTATTAATATATGTATATATATATATATATTTTTTTTTCATTAGAATAGATTTATATGTATATAGTTATATATTTATTATTATTATATTATTATTCTTATCTTTTTTTAATTATCTGTTCTGATTTTTTCTGATTTTCAGATATTATTTGAAAATTTTTTATCTTTTGATTTATCTTTCCAATTATCTAGATTTTTTTTTAATTTTATTTTAATTTTTATTTTGGAGGGCTAGGATTCAAAGTTGAAGACTCCCACTCTGAAGGGGAATTCAATCAGAAGAGTCCAATTGGATTCAAAGACTGAATTCCCGTCCAAAGAGGAATTGGGATTGATCAGAAACTCCTGATCAATCCCTATAAAAGGGACCCCCCTGGAACAGTCAAGACACAGAAAAAAGAGAAGCAAAAGCTACTGATTGAGAGAATAGGGGTGTTTAGAGAGCTAAGGAAAAGTTTAGGAGTGTTCTGGCAGTGAGAAAAATTTTTTAGAAAAATTTGGCGAAAAAATTTTCTGGAAATTTCTGGGAAATTTCCAGATTCCGGCGAAAATTCCGGCGACTTTTGAATTTTCCGGCGACAATTCCGGCGAACTTTGAAGTTTCCGGCGACAGACCCAGTTTCCGGCGGAGAATCCCAGAAACCGGCGACCATCCGGCCAACTTTCGGCCAATTTCCGGCGAAATTCCCAGATTCCGGCGAAATTTCCAGAATCCGGCACCGGCGTTCTTCAAATTCTAGAGAGAAGGCAAAGAAGAAGGGAAGAAGAGAGAGAGAGGGGAGGAACGGTCTGCTGAAAAACGGAGGAAGGTGCCTTTTATACCCTCCCAAAACGACGTCGTTTTGGCTTTAAGTTAATAAGAGGATCCGCGCGTTTTGCCGAACCCGACCCGACCCGAAGCGTCGACCCACTTTCTGACCCGCGCGTTTCAGCCCCTCCGAGCCGAGCCGAGCCGAGCCGAGCCGCACCAAGCCGAGCCGCGATCCGAGCCGCTCCAGGTTTTTTTTTTTTTTTTTTTTTTTTTTGACTTTGATTTTGATCTTGATTTTTTTTTTCCTTATTCTTTAATTAATCCGACGACGGAGCCTCTACAAGTAAAAACAGTAGTTTTTCTTGCATACTCCTGAGGTGAGGGAATTTTCTCAATTTTCTGCTAAAAGTATTAGAGTCAATTGAGAATAATTTCCGATAATTAATTACTTGGCTGATTTTGATTTTTTTTTTCTTTAATTAATCCGACGACGGAGCCTCTGCAAGTGAAACAGTAGTTTTTCTTGCATACTCCTGAGGTGAGGGAATTTTCTCAATTTTCTGCTAAAAGTATTAGAGTCAATTGAGAATAATTTTCGATAATTAATTAATTGGTTGATCTTGATTTTTCTTTAATTAATCCGACGACGGAGCCTCTGCAAGTGAAACAGTAGTTTTTTCTTGCATACTCCTGAGGTGAGGGAATTTTCTCAATTTTCTGCTAAAAGTATTAGAGTCAATTGAGAATAATTTTCGATAATTAATTAATTGGTTGATCTTGATTTTTCTTTAAATAATCCGACGACGGAGCCTCTGCAAGTTAAACAGTAGTTTTTCTTGCATACTCTTGAGGTGAGGGAATTTTCTCAATTTTCTGCTAAAAGTATTAGAGTCAATTGAGAATAATTTTCAACAACTAACTACTTGGTAAAATTTTAAGGCTTTTGGATAACACAAATTCAAGCTGGTACCATCTTTTGATGGGCGTTGTGAGGGTGCTATAACCTTCCTCACACGTAACCGAACTCCCGAACTCTGTTCTGGTTAAGCAGACCCGAACATATTCTTTTAGGGACCCTTAAGCTTAGGTGTTCCCTAAAAGGGCAGATTCCATAGGTGGCCAATCGCACCTAGATAAAAAAGATTGGTGGCGACTCCCTAAAGTCAATGTCTGACGATAGATTCCCGGATCTAGACGTTACGACATGTAGTGTATTTGAAATCATTTCTTATAATATTTATTTAGCTTTCGTTTACCTACTCCTAGATTTTTTTATAAATATATTGTCATAAAATTTGGGAATAGTGAAAATTAGTGTATTGGTGGTAATTCAAAACCCTCTCACACCTTTTTTTCCAACAACTTTTTCCCCTTTACCCGTTTGTAGGTCCAAGCGAGACGAGCTAGCTTGAATTTATGCGGGAGAGAGAAAGAAAGAAGAAAAAAGAGATGGCAGGGCAAAAAAGAGATGAAGTGATGAAGATAGGTGAAGAGCAGGACATCGTCATTGTAGGCGGTGGCATTTGTGGCTTGGCCACCGCCCTTGCTCTTCACAGGTTCTCCCTCTTCCGCCGCTCCCTGCTGTTCGATGATCACCCGTTTCCCGTTTCCCTTTTTTGTTTTTGTTCTTGGTTTTTTCCTCCACTTTTTCTGGCTGTGAAACCAGAAGCTCTCAACCATACGAGTTAATGGACCCGTTCAGGCTGAAATTTATAGTAATTTGAAGTATGTTTGTTTGGGTTTTGCAGGAAAGGAATAAGGAGCATTGTTTTAGAGAGATCAGAAACGCTGCGAGCCGTCGGCGTTGGCATCCTTATGCAACCGAATGGATGGCGGGCACTTGATCAGTTGGGTGTTGCCTCCAAGCTTCGACAGACTGCCATTGACATTTCATCGTGAGCTTTTACCGCTCTTTCTCTCTCTCTCTATCACATTCAAAAGAATCATTAAAATTACTTTTTTTTTTATCATAAGAAGTTAGTACTTTTTTTCACCAAAGTTAATAAATTCTCCTATTATTAGTAAGTATTTGTCATTTTGTTGTACCTATTAAAGGAAACAAGTAAGTACTTTCAGATTTCAAGTGCTACTATAACTATCATAATTGAATATGAATGATTATACTTTTTATTAGATAAAACTGTATAATTTTTTGTATGTATGCAGGGGAGAATTTATAACGGTTGATGACGGCAAGCGACATGAATTAGCTCTTGGGTAAGTTGGATATCCTTTGAAATATTTCTTGCATTTCAATTTTTAGCTATAAATTGAAGTAAATTTATTATTTTCAGCAACATTCAATCCACTATAACAGTTATATTTATGTCTATATTTTTAATTTATTGGTCTGAATCTGTAATTTTTTTAAACCATAATCTAGATTTATTAATTGACAAAAAAGTAAATATATCATCACATGATTATTAGTTTATTTGATAAGAAATTGAGTTTATTTATATAAATCAAAGTTTAATTTTTATAAAAATAATTTGAGAATAAAATTTTAAATTATTGTAAAATAATTTATTTTTTAAATAATTTATTTGAGTATAAAATATTTAAGATTGAAAATAAAAGCAAAGTTTTAAGATATCGGAATTTAAAATTTGTTGAATTTTATATTTTAAGAACAATTATGTAAAGTAAGTAAATTGTATTTTGAATTTACTTAAAATAATTAGAAAAATAGATTAAAATCAAGTAAAATAAAAAGATATCTTGGTTTGTAGATGAATAAATCAATCAATGAATGAGTACTGTATGGCGGCTATTTTTGTCCAAGATAGGTGTGGTGTGTAGCTGAATGAGAAACAATTTTCAGGAAAGGGGAACTCCGATGTTTGAAACGGATGGATCTGATTGAGGCATTAGCAGAGCCATTACCGGCCAACGTCGTGCATTTGGGATGTCAGGTGCTCTCCATCATCCTCGATCCTGTAACTTCGTATCCCATTCTTCAACTTCATGATGGAAGTATGATTAAAGCCAAGGTAATTTTTTCTTATGTTAATTATATATAAAATATAAAAATTAATGAATAATAATTCATATTGTCATGATAAATATAAAAATATATTTTTTATTAAATTTATATTTATTAAAATTTTGAATTATATTATTTTCGTGTTATTTATTTTAAACATAAATTAATTTTTGTTTTAATTTTTTAATTTATTTTAAAATAATGTTATAATGAATTAAGAGCCTGTAAAACTCATTTTGTCATTTTTTGTTAGCAAACCTATTTTATTTTATGTAACAAAAAGTTATAGAGAAGGAAATTACTCGATTCACCAACTCCTGTAAAGTTGTCGCTTTTCAAGAATATTTTAATTAATATTCTTTTAATTTACTTTAAATTTCATTAAATTTTATATTGAAGAAAAATCGTAGAAAGATTTCATTCTAGATATGATAATTAATTAGATAGTCCATTTCTATACACAGCGGCAGGTAATATGGCTAAGACTCTGATAACTGATATGGTTTCAGTTTCGGACTCTTCGGGTGGTAGAATCCTGACAATATTATCTGGTATTATGATAACAGCGTGTAGATCGATCAAACTTGACAAGATAATACTAACTATAAACTTTTCATAGATCAGATATATAGTAAAAAACATATCTCCATAAAAATCAGGCCTCCAGTTCGACGTTAAAGTCAAGAAGGCGCCAGAGTCTTGAACACCGGCTAGAATACCTTGGTTATATGTTTGATCTATAGAAAGCTTATGGTTGGTATTATCTTGCTAAGTTTGACCTATCTACACGCTGTTGTCATGGTATCAGATAGTATTGTCAGGACTCTACCACCCAGAGAGTTCGAAACTGAAGTCGTGTCAGTTGCCAAAGCTTTGGCCGTACTATCTACCGCTGTGTATAAAAATGATATCATTTCTATACACAGAGTCTGGTCTGATTTTTGCCGAGTGGCCTCTGTAGGTACCTCAAAACTAGTTTTACAAGGAGCCTTTCGGTCCTGGGCATATTCCCAAGTGGGTTTTTCCCATCCTCAACCGCACAGGTGGCTAGCCTGCCTGGTCATGTCAGGGTAAGAACCAATGCTTCGCCACAGATCACACTGTAAGAACCTCTGATCATGATTGTTCTAAAGTTTTGATTATTGGAGTTGGAAAAGGAAAAGTCAAAAGAGAGTCTTATTTTCATGGATTTATCAACTCTTAGCAACTCTAGTTCTCAACTTTCTTCCTCTAGATCTTCTTTCAGTTTGTCCTCTTCTCATTCTCCTGTACTTAAAAAGTCTTTCTCTTCTAAGTTTAAGTTCTTATATGAAGTAGATTACATTCCAGAAGAAAAGAAAATCCAACAAACAGTTCTACCCCTTATAAATCCTTATACAGCTTTCTCAAACTCCTCCCCTTATCTTACTAGATCTTTAAAAACTCTTTTAAAACCCAAATACCAAGCTCCAAAAGAATATGTTCAAGCCACAAACTTTGATCAATGTATTCTTTCAGTAGGACCTCAAGAGCACTTTATTACTATTCAAATCCCAGAAGAATTTCCTCACCAGTGGTCAGAACAAGGATACACTCACATTCACTTTGGTGCTATCAGAATCGCCTTAACCTTCCATGGCAGAAATGAAATTCTTGTTTGTACCAGAATAGCCTTGTTGGACACCAGATTTAAAGATTACAAGCATGCAGTCCTTGAAATCGTTGAGACGACACTCAATGCATGAACTGTCTTCTTCACAGTCTTCCCAAATTATAATATATCTCTTCATGATCCAATCATGTTAGATGCTTTAAAAGTTCAAGTCCAGATCGTAGGCACATAAATGAAAGGCCTCCAGGCAATCCTTCACTACCAGATGGCATATAGAGTTCAAGATCATGCCATTAACTTGCCTCTTTCACACTCCAGTGATGCAATTTTTGTTAAAATGGAAACAGCAGACAAAACTCCTAAACATGTTCATATTCCAAAGCAGATTTCAAATGAAGAACTTGCCACCATTCTCCCAAAGACATGGACGACAAGTTATCAAAAAATTTAGAAGCAAGATGAACCAATTGAACACTTTGATCCAACCTACCAAACAAATCAAGATGGTACTATCATAATTGAATTTGATCATAGCAAAGGAAAGGATGTTCCTCCCAACAATCTTTCCAACACAATTTATGATGCAAAGACGTCATGCTGATCTCCTTGATGTTCCAGTCACACACTTTTAGTCCGATGAAAATTCCGTGTATGTATATAGATCTCCAAAAGGACATTGTTATTGGGACATAAATTGTCAATGCAAAGAATGCCAGATAGACGCATATAAAAGCTTCCTGGATGATGATGATGATGATATTCCAAATAAGCAAAAGAAAAAAAAGTCTTTCCAGCAAAAGCTCAAAGAAAGATATGAAAATGAAGACCCTGAAGTTGATTTTCTTGGTGAACCTTCAAGAAAGTTTGACTATTATGTCATCTATTCTAAGAAAGACAAACCACACACTCAAACCTATTCAAATCAACCCACACAAAAACTAGATTCCACCCAAAATTTCACCCAACCTTTACCCAAACCTTTACCATAAATCTCCATGATGCAACCAACCTACCCAAGCTCAGATTTTCTTCTTTTTCAAGAATTTCATAAAGATCAATACAAACACATTCCAAAAATCCGTTGAAAGCACTTTATAAGATTTGTAAAAAGCACAAATATATCAAAACTTTGATGCACAACTCCAAAAAATTAAAAAAGTCATATTCTTACTCCTCCTCAAGACTTCAAATCAAATGTTCTTCCAAAAATCTCATATGTTTTTGCAGCAACAAGAGCATTTAAAAAGCAAAGCCAACTCATTCTATAATTATTTTATTATAAAATAATAACAATGTATTATTTTATATAATATTCTAATATATGTTTTTAAAATTAAAATAAAATAATCAGAGAGCCTAAAATTCTATACTAAAAATCGAATATGGTCAAGCTCGTGAGTCTGTACGAATAGATTTCTGGACATCTCCAATGGTAATGAATCTTTTGTAAAAGGTTATGGTGTTTTGTTTGAATAACAAAATTTATATGTTATACCATAATGAGTGTACACCAAGCATTTAATTTTATTTATATAATAGATTTACAAAATTATCCCTCCAATGCTAATGAATTTTGGGTTTTTATTTTTGGAATTGGATCAATGTGTGATTCATTGCTTCTTTCATGACAGATTGTAATTGGATGCGATGGTGTGAACTCTATAGTATCAAAATTTCTTGGCATAAATTCTCCAAAGCTTTTCTTTCGATGTGCGACCAGAGGTTTCACATATTACGAAAGAGGTCATAATTTTGATGATCAATTTCGTCTATATCACTCACAAACTGTTCAACTGGGACAACTTACTGTCACGGACAAGCTTGTCTATTGGTATTTGACTCGATCATTAACTTCTGAAGGTAATCTTTTTATGTTTTTTAGGTTAAATCAAAAAAGTTAATCATGGTTTTGGGGTTAATGTTATTAATAATTTTTAAATTATAATAAATGTTTAATTTAATATTAAAAATTATTTATTTGTTATATGATATAATTTAAAATTAATTAATATATTTATAATTTAGATATTATATAAAAAATTTTAAAATTTAAAATTTAAATATTATATTAAATATTTTATTTTAAAAATATTTTATTATAATTTAAAAATTATTTGTAACATTAAAATTTTTAAATAAATATAATTTCTGAAATTATAATAATTAAATTGCATGGTAATGGTCAGATTCGGGTGCTTCAAAGAAAGATCCAGCATACATTAAAGAAGCATCAATGGAAGCAATAAAGGGTTTCCCAGAAGATATGGTGGAAATGATAAAGCTCAGTGAACCCAAGGCATTGTACCTCACAGAATTGAGATACCGAACGCCATGTGACTTGTTGCGAGCCAGGCTTGCCAAAGGGGCAGTGGTTGTGGCAGGAGATGCAATGCATGCGATGTGTCCTTTTATCTCACAGGGTGGAGGGGCTTCTCTCGAGGACGCTGTTGTACTGGCAAGATGCTTGTCAGAGAAATTGATGCAGGCTGCAAATCAAAACCAACTTGGACGAAAATTGATGGTCGCAGAAGCTCTTGATTTGTACGTTAAAGAAAGGAGGATGAGACTTTTCTGGCTTTCTTTGCAGACTTATTTAGTTGGATTGACACTTGACAATACGTCCAAGATGAAGAAAGTTTTGGGAATGATCACCCTAGTTCTCATCTTTGGAGACCAGAAAAGTCATAGTGATTATGATTGTGGCCACCTGTAACCAATAAATTTATCTCATCTTTGTTTTTGGTTTTGCTGGGTTTGTTTTCGCTTTTGCTTAGTGAATGATTGCATGCCTACATGCATGTTGTAATGCTATGTGATGGAAACTTAAAGTTCTATAATATTAATAAACTCAATTCAGTGAGTTGATCTCTCGTAAATCACCAAAAATGACCATCACCTTCACATACAAATCACGGAGAACTAATGAATTTTTTATTTGAAGAGAATTTCAGTTCAACTTTTTTTTTTTTAAGCTCGTAAAAGAATTTAATTTAATTTCTCTTTTCTATCATAAAGTTGAATATTTTTGGCGTATCAATAAAAAAGTTTTGAACTAAAATTAAATAATAATTGAAGTTTTTATTATTTTATTGTAATTAATTAAATTTTTAGATATTTATTTCATTAATTAAATTTTTATAAAATAAAAAATAATTAAACGTCAATATTTATTTTTATCTAATAATGAATTTAATTTGTTAAAAATAAATATTTAAAAAATCACTCGATTCAAAATAAAACATTTAAAATTGAGTGATTTTTATAAATTTTATTAAAAATTAAATAATTATTGATTTTTTTTTTCAAAACTTTTTTACCTTTCACCATTTTTTTTTCTTATGAAATTATTGTATAGTGTACTGCGTTTTAAAGCTGAGAAGATCACGTGGTCGAAGGCAAGCTTGCTGCTGGTTCCCCAATTGTTTTTTTGGATTGTTTAGTTCCAGTATTTATGTAGTGGACCGAATAATAATGAATAGCACCAAAGTAGGTAAGCATCCGCCAAGGTTCACACATAGACCTTTTCCAGGGATGCAATTCAAATCGATTCGGTCTGCTTAACTTTTATGGCTGAAAATTCTTTGGACAAGTTATTTATAACATATGGATTCAGAACTAGGGGACCAGTATTTTCTATGTTTCAAATTACGCTGTTCGACTCATTTCAAAATTTTTTTTAAATGTTCTAAAATTATTTATATATTTAACATTTAAAACTTTTACTTTTTATATTTTAAAATTATTTTTTATATATTTTTTATTTTTTGATATTAAAAATTATGAAATTTAATTTTACAAAAAAATTTAAATTTAATGTTAAATATATTAAAATTAAATTTTTTTAAATTCCTTAAAAATCAATAACACTAAAATGTTTTAGGACGGAAGAAGTACGAATTTAAGAAAAACATTCTTTATGTTAAAAAAATTATACATGTTATACTTAACTATTTCAATATAATTTTGGTATTTAATTGTTTCTAATTTTTTTCAAAAAGTTTTATGATTTTAATTTTTTTTCTTTAATTTTAATGTTTTTTATATTTAAAAAATTATACTTTAATTATAATGTCAAAATTTTTAAAAAATACAAAAAATTAATATGAAACATATAAAAAGTAAGAATTATTGTTATTGAAAAGAAAAAAGACAATTTTAAAAAAATCCAAAAAAAAATGTGGACATTCAATTTGAAACCGAAGAAATAATAGTCACTTGTATATCTTTGAATTGGTTTAATTTTAACACTAGACTTTTGATTTGAGATAAAATTGGTCAATATGTAATGAGAATATAATTTTTTTTTTACATAAAAGAATAAACTTGATAAAAGATTTTTTTATTCACGTTTGACTAATATTGTACCAAAATACAAGTATAACGCTACAACATACTAGTTTCAATAGAGATAATTGACATATAATTGAAATTAACATTTAAAAATTATAAATTTAAAAGAGTTTATGTATGTAATTTTTTTAGCAAATATAAATATTAGGGTAGAGGAGTTCAACATTTAAAAATATTAATTTAAACTTGTTTAATTTAAAAATATGAAGCCTTTAAAATTTTATTCATGACCCAATTCAATCTTGTTTAATTTAAATTTATTATTAAAAATATTAATTTATATATTAAATATTAATATTTAGAAATATATTTAGAATTATAATTAAATATTATTTAATATTCAAATTTTTCTTAAAAAATTTTATCAAAAATTCAATTCATGGACAGATTTCTCCGTGTGGTTTTAACCTTTAAGCTGATTTGATGCAGGGATATTGCTAACCTGTAGGGTGAGGATTAACATGAGCTACTCACCCACGTTGTTTTCGTTTTAATATTATGTCTGAACGACAAATTGCACAGGCGTCGCATTTCTCAAAAAAAGTTAGCAAGCAGTAGAGCAAAGTTGGCATGGTGGGATAGTATTAAAAAAAATAAAATCAAAGAAAGCAGGTAGCACCCGTTACATGTTATGTGAGGGAATGCAAAATGCATGTCAAATCAAGGATGGAGTTTCGGTGGGTAATTACAAAATGGGTATTGTCTATTGATCTTCAATGGTTTTTATTTTGAAATAATAAAATATTAAAGATAAAATTTTTAATTTAGTATATGATTTTAAATTGATAAATTTATTTGTATTAAATAAATAATTATGTATTACTTACGAAATTGGGTTAAATGGTTTTGAATTCAAAGAGAAAAATTTTGTAAGTTTTTGAATGAAAAATATTTAACATCAAAATCAATCTTTTTTTACATTAAAAGTAAGTTTTATAAAAAAGATTAAAAAAAGAAATCGATCCTTTTTAATACTGGATTGATTTTTCCTAAATTAAAAATTAAGAATTTTGTTTAAAGCTTGAAAGCAATCAATCCATTTAAAAAAAATTAATTAATTTTTTTATAAGGTTTCAAATTCAAATTTGATAAAAATAGATTGATCAATTATGAAAGAGAATCGATATGTTTTTATATAAAATCAATTGTTAAATTGGATTGATAGGCTCTTTTTTCAAAAATTTAATTTAGCTTAAAAGGTTAAATTCGAACAATTGTTTTCAAAAAAGGATTGATCAGTTCAATCCTAACAGATTTGAACTAGCATTTTTTTTGTAAGGCATTCAATGCATTAAATGAAGGTAACAATTCTTTTCTCATTTTTATCTATATAAAAAAGTCTTCCACCACATTATGAAGTATCAAGAGCCAAAAAAAATTTATTGTTATCCATTATTCATCTTTCTCAAGCATTAAAAGAGTAATTAATATGCTTAAAAACATAACATCTTACATTATATTCAAATCCTCTTGTTATTGTTTATACTTTTTATTTATACTTCAAATTAACAAATGCTTAACTTTAAAGTTATTTTTAAGTTTGCAAAAACACTTGTGAGCTTCAGGGAGAGTGTAACCCTTGAATGGTTCTTTGAGAAACTTAAGAAACCCATTAAAAGGTTCATTGATTGATTGTATTAATAACTTTGGAAGAGCCTATTCTAATATTCAACATAAAATGGATTGAGCTCTTTGGCAAGTGAGATTAAGGGAAATGACATAGGTGTTATGTGGAATGATCGAACCTTTATAATTCTCAATATTTGATTCTTTGCCTCTACTTTTTTACCTTTCCAAGTTATTTATTTGTGCATATATATTGTTTTCATTAGCTTCAAATCTATATTTGTGACTATTGTTAAATTGGTAATCAAATTGTCAAAATTTTTAATTAACCAATTCATCCTTTCTTGATTTATTTATCACTTTGAGCTAAAAATGACTTTTCATTTTTTTTTTAAAATTTTTATATAAAAAATTATGATAAGAGGCAAATTCATGGTTTAAAGTTTTAAGTAATGTATTTATAGACATTCCAAATATTAAAAAACACAAAATTTGAAAGAAAAAATTTCTTTTGATTCCTCTAAAGTTTTTTTTAAACATTCTTTTCATCCACATAACCAATAAATTTCATCGACAATTTTCCAATGGATACTCTAAAAAAAAAAAATCTGAATCCAATACTAATTATGATAAAATACATTAATTTTTTTAAACTTAGTGAAAATTAAACAATTAGAATGAAAGAGTATTATTTGTTAAATTAAAGATAAACAAAATATGTCTTTCAGTACCTTTTGATCAAATTCAATTGTGTAAATCACCCATATATAAAAATATAATTATCTTCTTAGAAAGAAATAACATCTTTAAAATTAATTTTAACATTTTCATTATATTAATTTTCATTAATTAGATATTCATCATCATGAAAATAACAGTTAATTGATACATCTTTTTTATGTGTGATTTTATTAATTATAATTTTTAGAAAATTTAAATATATTATTTAATTTTTTGAAATAAATATATTATTTAATTTATTTAAGTATATATTTTTATTTTATCATAAATAATGTTCTTTATTATCTTTTAAAAAGATTAAATTAAAGGAAAACGTCTTAATTAATATATAAATTAATGCATGCCAACTAAGCCCTCTGGTTAGGCTCCTTATGAACCTTCTATATAGAGTAATAGATTAAGCATTAAGGTTTGTTTAAATTATTGGAACTTTTAACTTTGGTTTTAACAAATAAGACCCCTAACTAAACATTGAAGTGTCTAAATAACTCAAAAATAAATCAAACAATTATGTTTTGAGAAAATAAGTTTTAGAGAATTAATTTGAATTTAATTTATTGTGTAAATTAAATGCATAACCCCTTATATAAATTGGTTTAGATTCAATTTGTTTAATTATTTGAAATTGTTGAGATGTGGTGAATATCAATACACAAAGTGAAAATTGTTTATTAGTAAATCCTTCACTTTTAATGCAATAAGTTCTTTAAGAGTTTCTTTTTCTTTGTTGATATTTGCTTCTTTCTTTTCCTTTGGATTTTTTTCTTTTTTTTTTTTATGCATTTGCCATATATTTATAGATGTAAGAAAATGAGACAATGGTTACTGTTTCGGGACTAGATCGATAGAGGTAATATATCCTGAGCTACTATTAATCTTTTTTTGTTGAAGTGCAATTGGCCATCAATCTTATTTTTTGATCTACGAATTTAAGATTGGATTCGAAAATACAGTTATGTGTGGAGAAGGCTATAGAACCCCCATAACATTCATCTGAAGACGATACCAATTAACCTTATATAACCCTAAATTAGTCTTGTTCAAATATTCTTTTACTTATCACTTTATTTTTTTTTTAATTTTATTATTTGAATATTGAAAATTTTCTAAGTTATTTTCGATACTTTCGGTATAACTTAAAAAGAAATTTTTCCCTTATGAGTTTTTAAAGAAATCACTTATTTCTTTGAAAAAGCTCCGTCGTTG